CTTTTCTGTTTGGGGAGACATTTTATTATTAATTCAATCTCATTGGTTGTTATATGTCTTTTCAAATTTTTTTATTTTCTTCTGGTTCAGTCTTGGTAGATTTCATGTGTTCAAGAAATTATATCTTTTATCTAGATTTTCCAAGTTGTTGGCATATAGTGGTTTATAATAATCTCTATGTATTTTTATATTTCTGTAGTGTTTGTTGTAACATTTCCTTGATCATTTCTGATTCTATTTATTTGAACCTTCTTTTTTCCTTAACCTAGTTAATATTTGTCAATTTTGTTGATCTTTTCAGAAACCAACTTTTTATTCATTTTGTTGTTTCAAATTAATTTTGTTTCTGATTTTCATTATTTCTTTACTTCTACTAATTTTGGGATTAGATTTGTTCTGGTTTCCTTAGTTCCTGGAGATTGAGCATTAGGTTGATTAGGTTATTTATTTGTAGTTTTTAAATATTTTTTTTTATGAAGGCACTTATTGCTATACTCTTCACTCCTATAATCACTTTGCTGTATCTATTCAGTTTGGTATGTTGTGTTTTCATGTATATTTGTTTTCAGAAACTTTTAAATTCTGTCATGGTTTCTTATTAAATTCAGGAGCACATTATTTAGTTTCCATGCGTTTGTGTGATTTCCGGTGTTCTTCATGTTGCTGATTTCTAGTTTTATTTCATGATGCAATTATTTGCTCACTTGATCGTTTCCCATGAGTCCTGTAGTATATCTTCATTCGTTTTCATTCTTTGTCTTATTATTTTCCTGATTATATGAACTCCAGGGATCTGTCTCCCAGGTGGGATTTCGGTGAGTTCTCAGGGGTGTGAGGACCTGTGAGTGTTGACCCTCAGTACAGTTTCCACTCTAGCAGTTGCTTTGTTCCTATTACTTGAGTGGTGGGAGTTAGGGTTAACCAGGACAAGATTTTCCCCTGGATTTATGTACTGTGTGAATCTCAGGATTTCTCTTTACTGGACCTGTGGCCATGACAGAGAACTGAACCCCCAGGTAGCCTGAAGTACAATCCACAGTGGGATCAGGGGCTGTTAGGGATCTTTCACTCACACTTTCCTAGCAAAGGGGAGTGTCTGTTGATTTCAGCCTCCCAATCTCAGCTGGGTAGGGACTTCAGTTCCCTTCACATACAATTCCTCTAGAGTTTCTGTGTTTTAGAAAACTTCACATCTTTCCTTGGTGGAGCTACTTGAAATGTGTCGTAACTATTGCTTGATGCCTTTGTTGTAAGGGAGACGAGTGCCAGGTACTTCCCCTCAGCCCTCTCTATTCTGAGATTTTGAATTTCATTTGGGTTTGCACAATGGTGGGTTTAGTTATATTTCTTCTGCTCTAATGAACTTTTTTTTAAGAACATTTTTTATCTTCTCCTTTCTTCTTGGCAGCACACAGAGCTACTCAGTCCTTAGAAACACTCACCAGGTACTTTCTGCTGTGAACTCCAGATGCTGTTTCTCCATAGTTACATAGAATATTCTAGAGTCCAACACACCAAAACCACTTAAAAACACCATTTTCATCTCCTCAGCTTGCTACCAAAAGCCATGCCTTGGAGATTAACAATAAAACAAAGCATTATATTGAGATTTGTTTGAGGCTGTGTCCAGGGCCAGTATGGTAGAGACTGGGCTGAGAAGGGACATGGAAAGGACCTTGGCTTCATATTTCTGGAGAGTTTCCAAAGATCCCTGTGTGACACTGGAGGAGCTGGGATTATGCACTGCCGTATGTAGGTGTTGGCCAGTTCCAGGTGGGGATTCCTATTATAGACCGTCGTTCTGGATAGTTTCTCCAGAACACATGTGGCCCTCACCTGCCTGTGAGGCCCTGTCCTGTGGCTGTGTTGTCAGATGTTCTATGCTAGATGGCGGGCCCGTGATCCTCATTCCAGGGTGGGTTCTCCCCACGCCCAGTCATGGCTGGGCCCCACAGTAGTGATCACACCTGAGTTTCTGTGATGTCGCTATGGCCTGCATCACTGTGTCGAGCATGTTTGCCCTTGTCGGTGTAACTCCTGGAGGGACTGTGAGCCGCAATTCCACTGCAGCCAGCCTCAGTGATGTTGCTGTTCTATGGCAGCCAGGCAGACTTAAGTGTCAAATAGGACAGTGGGGGGTCACAGGTGGGCTGTTGGAGCAGTTCTACTGCCAGGACCCCCTCCACCTTTACACTAAGCATGGTTCCCTTTGAGTCTGACCAGTGGTTCACTCACTCACTTGTCCATTTCCCAGCCTTGTCCTGAGCACCCACCTGACCCAGGGACAGGCTTGTTTTAGACACACAGAGATGACTAGGGGGGTGCTATACTCCTGGGGCCTGCAGAAATGGCTGGGGTCACCCTTGAAGCCCAGGGGCAGGAATCTCATAGCCATCCATGTGCCCTGCACCTAGTGACACCCCACAGAGACAGGGGCACTCAAAGACTCAGACACACACATGGACCTTACAATTGAAAGTACAGGTCCCAGAATCAGGAGTAGGAGACCCTCGCAGATTATGTATGGGAAGAGACCCAGCAGCTAACAGGTCTCACAGTTTCCATGGGGTCCTCAGAGGAGCCCCCACCCATGGGACCACCAAGGAGAGTTATTCCAAGTCCTAAGTTCTCCATGGAGGTCTCTGAGCCCTAGGAAGGGATGGGAGGGGCCTAGGGCCTGGGTTGGGGGAGGCTGAGTGTGGAAGTGGCAGCTGCTCCTCCCTGGCCTTGTATTCTTGCCTGGTTCCTGGTTTGGGAAACTGTGGGATGCCCCCTGCAGGATAATGATGATATTGCAGGTGGGGACAGACATAGAAGTACCAGGAGAGAGAGTCTAGAACTGTTTGTGGGTCTGGGGACTCAGGTGGGTGGGGCTTGAGAAGGCTGGCCAGGGCCTTCCTCAGATTTCCACACAGGACACTGGGATCCCAGTGCATGGACATCTGCGCTGGCTGTGAAGAGTCATGCAGGTCTCTTGAGCACTAGAACCAGGCTCTGAGATGCTGTGCTGACAAGAACCACTGCATAGACCACTGCGCAGAGAGCCTCACCCAGATTACTATGGGCCCCATATCAGGCTCTGAGCAGGTGGATCCTGGCCTATGGACATAGGGCAAAGGGCTGCTGCAGAACTGAGCAGCTGCCATGAAGACCTGCCATCAGGTTCCCAACCCCTGTGACAGGCTGTGTCGCCACCAGCCCAACCTATTGGGGCCCATAGGAAAACCTTCTTCTGTAGACTAGAAGGCCAGCATTCTAAGGGTTAGGTGGTGTCTGTGGTCATGTAGAGGTTGAAGGGTCCAGAGGACCACCCCCCCACCAAGCCACGAATGGATGCCCACCAGCCTCCTTGACCAGTGTTCTGTCAATGGGAGGAGGCTGCAGGATACAGCATACTCAGCCATTGAGAACGCTTTCCAAGTCTGGTCTCAGTGTTCCTCTTGCTGCCTAAGCCTCTGCTTGCCTCCTTCCCATCTGTGTGTCTATGTCTTAGTGTGCTGAGAGCGGCCCAGGGTGCCAGGAGCTGGTAGGGGGCCATCTAAATGGCCGACAGGGTCTATTGCTTAGATGCCCAGCAGTGGCCAGGTCATCTCTCAAGGGCAGCTTCAGGAAGCAGCAGGGGTCAGCATTCTGTTCAGATTGGGAAGACAACTCCATGGACAGGCCCGGAGACACCCCTGACCACTTAGCTGCCATGCCAGCCCTGCCTGGCCCAGGGACAGGGGTGGGGGCTTCCTGTGGGTCAGTAGCAGCCCCTCCCCACTCACTCTGCACCAGCTCTGGTTCCTCTCCTGCCCCCAACATGGCCTCTGGAAGGAGTCCTGCAGGGATGTGGGGCACTTGTGAGCATGAGGATAGTGACACCTGAGAATTCCTACCCTGATACACTCGCAGCACTCAAAGATACCTGCAGAGCCAGCTCATTTATGTGCAACTGTAGGATAAAATTAAACACGAGCCTTAGGTGCCTTTTCTCAAAGTAGGCTCCTGGGAGCTCTTGGCTTTATGGGACATCTTCAGGGGCCTGTGAGGTCCTTCCTCACCCATGTGAAGCTGTTTCCTTTGTAGATAGCCATGGAAACAGTGCACCTGAATGACTGAATGTGGACGTGGTCAGCGAGGCCACTGTCTGCTCCGAGACAAGCACCAGATGCGCAGGAACACACAGCAGTGTTGTGCTCCGCACTCGTGTGTCTCATTTGGGGAAACAGCGTAATTTTTCATAAACTGTGAATGATGGTAACATGCAGTGGATCTACTATCATCTTCAAATGCATGTGCAGTTGTAGCTTCTTGTTGGTAAGTGTCAGTAGCTTTGGTCAAGGGACTCAGAATTTTGTGAGATTTTTGTATTTCTGGATGTAGAGGCATCCTGAAATGGGAATGTTTAGAAATGTTGTTTTAACGCTTTCCTTGCACTAAATGTGACAGTCGCGATAAATGATCCCAGCTGACATGATTGAGCCACACTTGCGCCGATCTTCCACATAGCCCTTATCATGCTGTTGTGTAGATGAGCAAGTGGACACCCAGCCATGGTTGGTGCCTTCCAGAGTGTGCCACATGGGTGGGGAGGCCAGAGGCTCCAGGGTCACCCAGGTTGGTGTGGCCTGACCTTCATGGGGAGAAGCTGCAGCTGGGGTTCTAGCGCATTCCAGAGGGGCTATCTGGGATGACCTCATGGGAGGTATCATACAAATCCAGGGAAATGTGCAGAGTTCTCACAGAGGTGGATCCTGGAGGATAGATGGGTGGCCAAGTGAAGTGGTTGGGGGTGGACACCCATGTGGAAAGAGGCCACGAGACAGTGTCTTGGGACAGTGAGGGGAGCTTAGTGTGAGCCCGGTCTTAGCTGTGAGAAGCTACTGCATTCTCGAGAGGCTGTGGTGACTACATGAGCGTGTGACCTAGGCAGAGGTATGGCCATTCCTCTTGCTTAGGTCACTGGCACTGTCTGTGACACCATCACTTATTTACCCTGTGCTTTGCCCTCCCTGAAGGAGAACCACTGTCGTCGCATCAAGATCCTGGGGGATTGTTACTACTGCGTGTCAGGTCTCACCCAGCCCAAGACTGACCACGCCCACTGCTGCGTGGAGATGGGGCTTGACATGATCGACACCATCACGTAAGTGCCTGTGGGATGACAAGGGTCCTCGCCCTGGTGATCTGGGAGCCCAGCACCTTCTGTACCGCATCCTGGGGTCTGTCCGAGGCCGCCAGAGAACGGATGCTGCTTCAGGAATCCCCTGCGCTGAGACATGATGCCTTGACTACTCCTTTACATGTTATTTGTGATGTTTCAAGTCCACGGAGATCCGTGCATTGTCGGCCATGCCCAAGTCATGCAGAAAAGCACCCTCCATAGCTTGTTGGACAAGGTGTTCTGAGAGGGCAGCCACATCCAGCTGAATTCCATTTTAACGGAAGTGTATGTGTGTGTGCAGATGGAGCTAGTTCTAATGTAGACACCTCATAGCCTGGAGGGGATGGCCCCTCCAACCACAGGAGCTAATGGGGCTTGGCGTGAAGGTTCTTCAGGAGAACTGTGAGGAAGGAATGATGGAGTAGCTGCCTGCAGAAGGAACATCCCCTAGAGAAAGTGGCAGGACACTCCCTGTGTTCTTGCATCCTGGGCTCCCCTGGATGATGCCCCTGAGACCTGAGTGTCGGGGAGAGCCCCAAGAGGGAGCCAGTGCCTCTGACAGCCTGTACCATCCAGCACAGTGTCGAGGTGGGATGTGCTTGCTGCACCCTGAGCCTGAGGTGGCTGGTCTGGGTGTAGAACTGAGTGGAAAAGCCCCCTGAGAATCTCAGTACCAGCCAAATATCAGGGCCACTGCCTAGAAAGAGACTGGGGCTAGCGGGTGGCATGGAGGTTAAGGTGCTGAATCTCTCACGGCTGGCTGTGTGGTTAGAGTCCCAGACTTGGTGGCTGGAAAGTTACACTTGGTACATGTTTGCCCAAAATCCCAAGAGGAAACTGGAAGAGAAAGGATTATGGCATGACCCCCCTGATGGAGGTGATTTCTCACTTTCTCTCTTTATCTCTGGTGAACACATGAGCCTTATGGCAAAACAAACAAACAAACAAACAAACAAACAAAAGAGAGAGAGAGAGATTGGGCAGACACCGGGAACAAAGGGTGCAGGTGGGAAAGGTGTGCTGTTCTCTGAAAGGACGTCACATTCTGTCACATGTCAAGTCACATCACATCATGCTTGAGGGCATACTCAAAGCATCCCAACACATCAATCATGTGTATATCATGTTACATCAGCTATAGCATGTGATGTCACATATCAAATATCATGTGTCATATTAGATACCATATCATATGTATTATGTGCCATATCACATGTCATCTAATGTGTTGTTACACACCGTGCCATATATTATACCATATTTCAGATCTCATGTATTACATCACATTGCATTGTGAGTATCATATTGTATCATGGCAAATTTCACATCATGTTATATCACGTTAAGTGTTATTATATATTACATTACATTATTATCATCCTATTTGTATCTTATTTTTTAAAAAATTTTGCTGTAGGGTGTGTGCGCTAACCAGAGAGAGAGAGAAAAAGTGAGAAATCACTCTCAGGGGGAATGGCCATCCTGCAATCCCTTCTTCTTGACCTCCTCTTGGGATTTTGGGCATGCATACACATGCACCTGGCGTGATTCCCAGGCTTCCAGGTCTGGGACTTTAACCACAGAGTCAGCCATATGGGATCCAGGTACCTTAACCTCTGTGCCACCTATTGGCCCTATAATGACCTGTTGGCCCTATAATGTATTTTTTTTCTTTTCTTTCTTTTTTTTTTCTTTTAAAGATTTTTTGCCATAGGGTGTGTGTGCTCACCAGAGAGAGAAAGACAGAGACAGGGAAAGTGAGAAATCATTCCCCAGAGGGATGGCCACACTGCAATCGCTTCCCCTCCATTCTCTTCTTGGGATTTTAGGCACACATGCACTTGTACCTGGCTCAATTTTCAAGCTGCCAGGTCTAAGACTTGAACCACGTGCAGCCATGTGGGAATCCAGTGTCTTAATCACCATGCTTCCTGCTAGTCCCATAATGTATCTTTTAAAAAGAACTTTTTGCCAGGGTGCATGTGCACTTGCCAGAGGGAGACAGAGAGAGAAAGAGAGAGAGAGAGAGTAAATGAAATCAAAATATATCCCCATATAACAAATATGTGAACCTATAGAGTATTCCAGAAGAATAACCTAATAAGAATTCTTTAAAAAAAAAAAAAAGGAAGAAGAAAGTGAGAAAGTGCCCACCAGAAAGCATGGCCACACTACAATCCCTTGTCTATTCTCCTTTTTAGGTTTTGGACCTGCACGCACATGCATCTGGCATGTTTCTCCAGCTGCTGGTTCCAGGACCTGAACTGCGCAGCCGGCTATGTGGTATCTAGCTGCCTTAACCACCACACCACAGTCCGGTCCTTATACTATATCTCATCAGCATAGACCATACCAAGTCATGTCACATCACATCACATGTCATGTCACATCACATCATATGTCATGTCATATCACACATGTCATGTCATATGTTATATATATCATACTATCTAGATATGTATCATATCTGATCATATGAGACCTTGCTTCATGTGATGTGGGTTGAAGTGAGGTCTGCAACTGGGGACTATAGGAGACAGGTGTTCGTTCCTATGTAAGTATTTAGAGCCCCCACCCCATGGCAGGTACAGGTTCAGGTGACATCGAGTGGTGCTCAGGCTGACCTGTGCTCACTTGTGACTCATGGCACTGAAAGAGACAGCCTTGTACCCCTGAGGCGCAGCGACCCTGGTGTGTGCACTGGGGTCTTCCTGGTGGGGCACGTGGGCTCTATGTGGTCACATATGCTTCATCTCCATCCGGCCCGGGCCTCAGGGGGTGTTGCTTCCCTCTGTGCTGCTCCATGTGCACATCCTGGTTTCACTGTCTCCATGGCAGCGCCCCATCCTGCCCTGCCCAGGAAACCCGGTGGCTGCCCTCTGATAATTGCACCTGCCTCAAGAGCAGACCTGCAGGCTAGCCCCCATGTGCTCTTCATGGGCCACTGCTCCACAAACCATGTCCTCTCAGGCTGCCCACCTGGCCTTTTGGCACCAACTCTCTGCCTCTCGGCAGACTCGTGGCCTTCCAAGCCCTGGGATCCTGACACCACATCTCTAGCCCTGCTACTAGAGACCATTCTGCCCAGGTGCTTGTGGCTGCCCTTTGTTCCAGCTCCTGATTTCCAAGGAATACCCAGGGCTGCAGGAATTTTTTTTTTTGGGGGGGGAGAGGTTTTTGCTATAGTGTGCATGTGCTTGCCAGAAAGAGAGAGACAGAGAGACAGAAAGCGAGAAATCACCCGCCAGGGGGGATGGCCACGCCACAATCTCTTCTCCTCCATTCTCCTCTCAGGATCTTGGGCATGCATGCACACGAGCCTGGCATGAGTTTAAGCCACCAGGTCTGGGACTCGAACTGCGGTCAGCTACATGGGGGTTCAGTGACATAGCCATTATGCTAACTGCTAGTCCCAAAGGCTGCAGGAATCTTAACAAACCGGGAGCCCCTGTTCTGTGTTCCCAGCTCTGGACCGGAAGGACGGCCACCAAAGAGAATGAGCTCAGAAGGGGGCCTCAACCAGCAAGCTCTTCCTCCTACTTACTGTCCCAGAGCCAGCCAGCTCCTCCTGCATCTGGCTGTTCTTCCATAGAGTGTGGCCTTCCGAAGGGACTGCACCCTCCCTCACTGGGTACACAGGGCCAGGTGTTCCTTCTCACACATCGAGACAGAGGAAGAGAGTCTCTGTATTTCCTTGCCTCCTACCTCAGAGTGGAGTGGAGTATTAAAATCTTGGAGAATGCCCCTAGACAAACTCAGGAAAATGAGTGAAGTGGCCAGAGCTGGTGGTTCTCTGAGTGCTTCATGCTGGGCATTGTGCAGTTGGGCTATTGCCCCTTGCCACCATGCTGGGACGAGGTTGCCTTCTGAGTTGAGCCTGTTTCTGTTCCAGAAAACTCTTCCTATCTCCGAAGGAGCTGGTCATGCTTGGAGAGGCCAGATTCAGTGGCTGTCACCTCCTCTCTTGGTGGAGTCCTGGGCTTGGGCACAGTTTCTGGGTGACTGGGGTGGAGGCGACCTGCAGTCAGAGAGGTGCCCTGTCAAGGGCCACAGTGAGGTCTGCTCCAGGCTTGGGGAATTCTGAATGGGCAGGAAATGCTATGGCATCTGGGATGATTTGGCCGGCATGAGATTCTCTAAGCATTTTGTACAGACCCCTTGGCTCTGCAGGGCTTCGCTGAAGACGAGGGTGGGGGCTCCACCATCAGCTCTCTCTTGGCTGCTGCCTGGCTGACAGCACCTGCACCAGCATTATCTGTTGCTGAAAACGCAACAACCTGTTCCCACAGTTCTGCATGTAGGACAGACTTCTGAAGGGCCAGGGCACTCGCTGTTGCTGGACTGAAGATAAATGGAAAGAAATGACTATGAAGTGGTGAAGGGGGTCTCTGCCGGCACAGAGCCTGCCTTCGTGCAGCAGGAGTGAGCTCGACTTCTCACGGGGCTAGTAGGGACCAGAATCACCTATTTGTCGAGCAAGTGAGGAATGATCTTGTTTTTCTACTTTGCAGAATGTTCACCCCTTTGGGGAAAATGGATAATAGGCATATTTACCATGTTTTCCCATCTTTAAGTTCTGGCAGGTATGGCTGTCCCCTTCATGGGATGCCCATCTCGGGCATTAGACAAATAGTGAACCTGACTCTGGATGGGAAGCTTGTCTACCTAGCACCTGGCTGTCAGTGACAGCACCTACTCTCTCCTTTTTTTTTTTTTTTTAGAGGTTCTTAGGTGAAAGCCCCTCCTCTCTCTTTTTTTTTTTTTTTTTTAGAGGTTTTTGCTACAGGGTGTGCTCGCTTGCCAGAAAGACAGAGAGAGACAGAGAGACAGAAAGTGAGAAATCACTCCCCAGGGAGGATGGCCACACCACAATGCCTTCTCCATTCTCCTCTTGGGATCTTGGGCACGCACGCACTTGCTCCCAGCGTTAGTTTAAGCCAATGGGTCTGGGACTCGAACTGCGGTCGCTACATGGGAGTCTAGCAACATAGCTATTACGCTAACTGCTGGTCTCAGCAGCACCTACTCTTAATAGGCTGGCCTATAGGGGCCACAGAGCACTGCTTGCTCTCTCAGCAGTGAACCTGGGGACTCCCTCCGTTGGTCTCTGCATTCCCGTTGTCAGAGCCAGCCCTGCTGATGTGCTTAGTGAGGGATACTCTTTTGGTAGTGAGTGTTATATGCTCCCACAGCCCACTCACCACACATGGCTTTCCTAAAAATTTTAGGGTATCTGGGGTTTCCAAGTCCAGAATATTCCAGAAGGAAAAGTTGCAGTTTTTTTTTTTTTTTTGAGAGAGATTTTCACTGTAGGGCGCGTGCGTTCGCCAGACAGACAGAGAGAGACATAGAGACAGAAAGCGAGAAATCACCCCCCAGGGGGGATGGTCACGCCGCAATCCCTTCTCCTCCATTCTCCTCTCGGGATCTTGGGCACGCACGCACACGCGCTCGGCGTGAGTTTTAAGCCACCGGGTCCGGGACACGAACCGCGGTCGACTACGTGGGAGTCCAGCGACATAGCCATTACGCTAACTGCTGGTTCCCGAGTTGCAGTTTTGTTGATGGGAACACCGAGGCCCAGGAGGGGCCACGAGGAGCTGACATTCAGGTTAAGCTTGAATGTGTGAGTCTGAAACCGTTTTGTCTGCTCTTTCCACCATGCTGTGTGGGGGTTGGAGCCACTGCAAGTGTGCGTGTTGTCAGCATTTCTGGGATATTCTGCCTCCTTGTTAGCGAATCAGCCTCTCTAGTGCCCACTGTCCTCTTTTATTCTCCGCTGTGTGCACAGCTGTAGCCATGATGCGTAGAATAATGGCTGAGTTACCTAAGCTCAATTGGCGTGTATTGAACAAATGTCGACTTGCCCATCCTTTTGTTTTCAAGCTTCAGGGTAGCTGTGGCCAGATTTCTGCCAGAATTTGTTTATACTGAGGGGCTGCCAGTGGCCCCCGTGCTATAGAGAGGGCCCCTTCTCAATTCTTCCCCTGCACAAAGGGTGGGTGAAGCACAAGGTGAGTGTTGGGCTTTCGTCCTACACAGGAAACACTTGGGGTGAATGAGATTGAGAACTTAAATAAGAAAAACAGGACAATGACACCAAAGGCTGTGAAAATTTTGGTTCCTTGGAAATGCAGTTGGAGGTTCTGTTGGACTCAGGCATCCCAGGGACAACAGAGCCCAGAGGAGTCACAGTGAGGACAGTACCACTAACGGTTTATTGAAAAGCACAGGCCAAGTGTCCCTTATTGGAAATGCTTGGGGCCGGAAGTGGTTCGAATTTTGGAATTTTTTTGGATTTTGGAATATTTTTCTTTTTTTTTTTTTTGGAGAGGTTTTCGCTATAGGGCACGTGCGCTCACCAGACAGACCAAGAGAGACAGAGAGACAGAAAGCAAGAACTCACCCCCCAGGGGGAATGGTCACGCAGCAATCCCTTCTCCTCCATTCTCCTGTTGGGATCTTGGGCACACACGCACACGCGCCCGGCGTGAGTTTTAAGACACCGGGTCCAGGACGCGAACCGTGGTTGACTACTTGGGAGTCCAGTGACATAGCCATTATGCTAACTGCTGGTTCCCAATTTTGGAATATTTTTACTCACATAATGAGAGCTTGGGGATAAAACACAGGTGTAGCATGAAATTCATTTGTGTTTCATAAGCACATACGTGTAGCATAGCCTGGAGGTAATTTATACTGTACCTCGTATTGCAGCATTTTGATGGTGACCTACCACATGAGGTTGAACGTGAACATTTCCACTTGTGGCTTCATATCAGTGCTCAAAGAGTTTCAGACTTTGGAGCATTTCACATTTCAGCTTCTCGGAGTCGGAAATACTCACCTTGTAATTGTCCAATTAATGTCAGCTCTGATGTTTCCAGAATGGAGATATTTGAGGCAGAGTATTGGGAAAGATCAGGGGTGGAGGGATTGGCAGAAAGCTCTGCGTAGTCGGTGCCCTGAGAGTGTGGATTTGTTGGAGACTGGCAAGGGGCTGCGTGGGGAGCCTAATGCACTGTTCTGGTGGACATGAGGGGGGACATGCATTCCAGAAGTCCCTGCCTTTCATACTGGCAGCAGTATAAATGCTAAAAGTACACAGAAACAGCACCTGCAATGTTCATCACTTCCATTTTTGAAAAGTAAATTTTAACTTTGATGTTTTATTTCAGTGCCTCTAATTGGAGATTGACAAACAACTGAAAAAATTAAATGCAAATTTAAAACAAATTGCATTCAAAATGTGTAAAACAAAGTAGCTACTATAGATACAGCAGTAGTTGAGCTCCCAAGTACCTCTCCTGGTAAACCTGTGGAAAATGAACTTCAGCGGCTCCTGAAGCTCTGCGTGGGCTAGGACCCTCAGGATATCATCTAGATGTGTCTGGTTCCAGAGTCCTGCATTCTGGGACACAAAGCTTGGCAGCCACTGTCTCAGAGTACTGAGGGGCTGCTGTGTGACCTGGTTCTTAGGGACAGGCCCTTGTATGGGGCAGTGGTTGTGATGGACCGAGCTGTTCCTGTTAGAATGACAAGCCAAGAGGGTGGCCAGAGGCCATGGGGGCTTAGCCCTACAGGAGCTCCTTCAGCCTCTTTGGGGGCATCAGGGTGGGGAGACAGACAGTTCCTTCTCAGATAAGCAGGTTAAGTCTGGGCTTCTCATGACCTGTGTTATTAGGATGACGAGATGCCCAGAGGCCTCCAGGACAGGACTCAGGCAGAGCACACAGCAGGGTTGAGGCACAATAAGGGGTTGGCCAGCTTTGCTGTCATGGGCCCTGCTTGATAGTGTTGAGGGGTTGGTGTTGCACCTTGTTTTATACTTGGACACCTGGTGGAATGGGAGAAGTAGGTTGGCCTGCTCCCATAAGCATCAGGGTGCACCAGGGCGCAGTTGGGTGACTTCAGAAATCATCAGAGCCAGTTTTGCCGGAGCTGGGCTTACGCACTAGGAAGCTGAGGCTTGGAGTCAACTAGGCTGACCGAGATCCCTAGAAATCCTGAGTTCTCTCAGCACCTGCTTCAACTCTGGTTTGCTCCCTAGGACACTTCCCGAGCTCCGCCCTCTCCATCCCAGTGCCTATCAGTGCCCCTCTGGTCACCAGGCTGACATGTAGACACAGTCTTCATCTCCAACCCTGAGGCCTGGGGTTGAGTGCATGTCAGGAAGGGAATGGGATGGAAGCAGAGCACAGTGCTTGGCCGGCATCTTGTCCCGGTTTTCCAGTGGGTCACCTGCCTTTGGCTGCCCTTCTGATGGGGCAGTGGCCATGTGGAGTCCGTTGTTAGTCCACACCACCCTGGTGTTGCTCCCCAAGGATAAGTTAACAGTGATTTTGGGGTTCTCAGGTCCTGGCTTATTTTCCTCTGAGTGCTTTCCTGGGCAGGGATGGGTGTGGGGAGCCCCCTGAACTGTCATGCCATGGTGTGAGAAGGAGACCCTGCTGCGGTGGTACTGCCCACCTTGCACCAAAAAATCACAGCAGGGTGGGAAGGTACTGTGAGATTTCCATGTGCCTGGTCCCAGCACAAGGAAGCTGTGGTGCAGCAGGCATGAGTCCCACCCCTCCTGTTGCTGGGGCCTTGGGGAGCAGTCCTCAGCAGTGTCCATGGTGGTGCTGGGGGGCCCCAGCCCCATACTCTGCCTGTGTTGCAGGTCTGTGGCCGAGGCCACTGAGGTGGACCTGAACATGCGCGTGGGGCTGCACACCGGTCGGGTCCTCTGTGGTGTCCTGGGCCTGCGCAAGTGGCAATACGATGTGTGGTCCAACGACGTGACCCTAGCCAATGTCATGGAAGCCGCTGGCCTGCCAGGGTGAGTTGGGACAGGGCTTGGGGTGGTGGCCATGCCCCCTCAGCCTGAGTCCTCGCCCCAGGTTTGGCCATGCTCCTGGGGGTGTCTGCAAGGTGTTCTGATTTGTCCCTCAGTGTCAAGACCATCCCAGCCACACCTCCAGTGTGCCTCCCTGTAGGGGGGTCCCATCCAGCCCTACTAGCACCCTTCTCTGGGCCCTTAACCCCTGGGAGCCTGGTCTGCAGAAGGGTGGCTGTGGATTAGAGGTCCAGAGGCAGGTGCAGTGGCTACTTTGCTGGTGGCACGGGCTCTTCTTGTGGCTCATATCACTTCCCTGTTTTGCTTTTTTCTGGTTTTATTTTCTTGAACATTGTCCTGGACAGTGCTGCGACAAGAACCCCTCCGGGAAGTGATTGATTTCCTTCTGGAGCCAGGATGCACCCTCATGGGTGTGTGCTTTCAGGGGCCTTCCATTTCACCAGCCTCCTTTGTCCTCACCATTAGATGAAGTCAGTATGCCCTGGTCTATAAAAGACTACCTGGAGAATGGAATGCAGGTTACCTTTCCCATCTCACGGCAGTAGGCTGGGGAGAATGATGTCATGGCCCAGAAGTCATGCGGTCGCGATCCCCAGTTTCCCCCTATGAGGAGCTGGCAGCATATGTCTGGGCATCACACATGTCCGCTTCTGTCATGCACCAATTCTGGTGCTCACACATCACTCTGCCTGTTCAGGGCAGCACCTCCACCATCAGCTCTGGCCCACCTTTCTGCACAGCGCTGGGGCCTCCTTCTGTCTCCCCTCTCAGGGCCTTCCCCACCCAGAGGGCTGGCATCCTTGGGCCTACGTTCTTACTGGTCCTCCCAGATGACTCATGTGGAAGCTCTTCCTTTACGCTGAGCCCCTGGCATGGCTGAGGGGCCCTGGTATTCTGAGGAGTTGGCGGTCTGAGCAGCGGCTGCGAAATAACACAGAAGGGAGATTACAGGACTGTGGTTCTTAGGGCTAAGTGTGGAAATCCTCCTCAAAGCCACTGCAGAGCCATCCATGGAAGGTAGCCCTCGGCCATGGCAGCCAATGGCATTTCTGGCAAGTTCACAGATGGTACTGCCTTCCACGTGGATGGTGGCGAGCTCCTGTCTTGAGCCTTGCTCCCAGGTGCTCGGGGAGCTCCCCCTTTTCTTTCTCACTGACCTTCTATCCACCTGCCCTTCTCCCCTCCTCTCTTCTATCTCCCAGTCCCTGAGCTGCACCTCTCACCTGGCCCTGTGCCCCCACCTAATCCTGCACCCCTAACTTGACCTAGCATCCCCACTTTGTAGGATTTTTCTAGCTGTCCCCCCCCCCATTAGCTGCCAGAGTGTGTCAGTCCACCCTATGGTCCTCTCCATAGCCCCTGCTGTCCTTGCACAATGCCTGGTCCCTTAACTGGCCATCTGTGGCCTTAGGGACACGAGCCGCCCACCCCTGGCTCTTCAGGGCTGCCCACAATAGGTAGCCTATGTTGCTGCTGCCCTGGAAAGAGGGCATTTTAGAGCCTGTGCTGGCCTGTCCCATCCCAGCACATGGATGCCACATGTGCTCCCTGGCACTCAGGGCCTCGCGGTGCAGATCTCAGCGGCCCACAATGCCATTTGCATCTCTGCCTTCTCTTCTTGCAGGAAGGTTCACATCACAAAGACAACCTTAGCGTGCCTGAATGGAGACTATGAGGTGGAGCCGGGTTATGGACATGAGAGGAACAGTTTCTTGAAAACTCACAACATTGAGACCTTTTTCATTGTGCCATCCCATCGGCGGAAGGTAGGCAGTGGAAAGTTCCCTACTTGACTGCCCCTTGAACAGCCAGGCCTGTGCAGAGCTTCACTTCCTCCTCCAAACACTCCTTCTCCTGTGGGCTTGCTGCTTGGTGGGGAGTCACCTCCACACTGTGCCCTGGGCCTTGCCACTTGGAGTTGTGTGGGGGACCGTAAGAGGGAGGACTGAACAGAACACCAGCAATCAGAGACCAGGCCATCTTGGGGCTGGGCTGGCCTTGTCCTCCCTCTCTCCTGGTCTCCCCTGCAAAGCGAGCATGAGAGCCCTGCAGGGAGAGCAGGATGGCAGGTGAGAGATGCAGGGTCAGGTGAGAGGTGGGAGGCAGCTCAGGTAGGAGGTAGGATCAGGTGGGGATGCAGGGTCAGGTGAGGGGTGCAGCTCAGGTGGGGGCTCAGGGTCAGGTGGGGACACAGTATCAGGTGAGCGTCGCAGCTTATGTGAAAGGCAGGGTCAGGTGAGGGTGCCAGGTCAGGTGAGGGGTGCAGGATTAGGTGGGGGTGCAAGGCCAGGTGAGGTGCAGCTCAGGTTAAGGGCAGGCTCAGGTCAGAGGCAGGGGCAGGTGGAGGTGCAGGCTAAGGTGGGGGGCTGGGCTGGGTAAGGGACTGGGTCAGGTGGAAGGGTGGGTCAGGTGTGGATACTTGGTCAGGTGTGGGTGTAATGTTAGGGTGTAGGGTCAGGTGTGGGCCTTGGTAGTTAGGCCAAGAGTGTGGCCAGTGCCTGTGAACCAGCCAGCTGTGGGCCTCATGTTCCTGAAGGAACACTGGGGTCGAGTGTTGGGGGTGCAGGGGTGGAGCCCCAGATCTCTTGGGGAGGACAGGACACCTGGTAAGGATGACCTGCCTTCATCCTTGAGGTGTCTTGGATTCCTATTCGGATACCACCTCGTGTGACTTTGATAAGGCCCCTGGGGGTGATAGTCATCTCACTTCGCAGATGGCAGCCCAGGCCTCGAGGACTATGAGGTCATGGGACCCTTAGCCTCAGCTAGGGCAGACCCAGCCTCTTAGCTGCCCAGCAGTCCCCATCTCCAGCCTCTTTCCTCATCTCTAGAATGGGAAGCGTTGGGAACTGAATGAGATGGCAGAAGTTGGGAAGTGATGTTTGTCCCAAGCCCTCAGGTGGACACACCTCACTGGGCCTAAACTTCCCTTTGCCCTGCTCTGGGATTTGGTTCACACTTTGTATTTCGAGGCCCTCAGTATGGTTTGAGAACAGATTGTTCCAATCGCTGCTCTATTCCTAGTAGATTCTCCAGTGCTTGGTCCAAAGTAGGCAATGAGCAGAGGGGTCCCAGAGCCCTGGGCTGGCTGCTGCCATCAAGGACACGTTCCCAGCCAGAGGGGCAAAATGTGTCTTCACCACAGCATTTCTCTTGCCCATCATGTGTTTGCACAGATATTTCCAGGCCTGATTCTGTCGGATATCAAGCCTGCCAAGAGGATGAAGTTCAAGACTGTGTGCTACCTGCTGGTGCAGCTCATGCACTGCCGGAAGATGTTCAAGGCTGAGATCCCCTTCTCCAATGTCATGACCTGTGAGGATGATGACAAGGTAGGTGAGGCCTGGGATCCAGCCTCTGTCCCACCCTCTCCCTAGCCACCATCCCAACATAGACCCTGCAGTCTGGCTGGGTCAGGATGTGCTGTTTGCATGCTTGTAACCCTGTGGAGGCTGTGCACAGCTTTTCCCTGCAAACTCCCTGTATCACCTGAGTTTTGTGTTTTTTGCTCTTTGGTGTTCTGTATAAATTAACCTGCCCCTATATGCTAAGTCACCTCTCAGGGTATTCATTCAGGTCAGATTTCTGTTTGTTTGAACCTTGACTGACCATCCTCTACATCCTCTAAGGCCGGCCCTCTGGCCCTTTTTCTCTCCTGTGATTGACTTCTGGTCTCTGAGTCACAGGGGTCTTCCCCAGCCTCACTCCCTGATTTTGGTGGATGGGGAGGGACACAGGAGGTGTCTTTGTTAGCTTAGACTGCCCAGCAAATAGCAGCCTGGGGACTTCAACACAGACACTCATCTTCTCATCATTCTGGAGGCTGGAAGTCTGCCATCAAGGTCTAGGAGGGTTGGTTCCTTCTGCAGCCTCTCTTCCTGGCTTGCAGAACCATCAGGGGGCGCTGGTTTCTTGTCCTCTCCTTGTAAAGGCACATGTCCCATCATGACCTCATCTAAACCTAATCACCACTAAGGGCCCCGCCACCTTGTACTGAAACCTGGTGGAACTAGCACCAGACCCAAATTCAGATCCTCACTGCTCAAAAGCCAATACTCAAGAGACAGGTGATGATGGAAAGGAAAGGTAGTTTTGTTCAAGAAGCCAGCAATTTAGGAAGATTGTGGACTACTGTTCTAAGACCATTTGGTCCTGTCCCCTTCCTTTATAAGGAAGAGAGGAGAGCCATATGCTGGAGTGTTTTTTTTGTTTTTTTTTTTTTTTTTTTTTGCCATACCCCTAGGCATTCACTGGTGAGAGAGAGACACACACACAAAGACAGAGAGAGAAAATGAGAAATCACCCCCTACCCCTGGGGGATGACTGTGCCATAATCACTTGTCCTCCATTCTCATCTCTGGATTTTGGGCATGCACACTTTTGTGCCTGGCGTGATTTTCAAGCCACTAGGTCCAGCACTTGAACCACGGTTGACCATGTGAGACTCCAATGCCTTGACCACCAGGTCACCTGCTGGCCCTGCCACGTGCCGTTTTTGCCCAGCACTGTAGCTCATCATCTCATTGGTCCCATGCAGGAGACTCATTGCCATTGGGATCGTTGTTTTCAGCTACAGCTGCATCAGCTGCACTGGGTCATCAGGACAGATGTTTTTATCTTCTTGGAACACGTCTGCTTCTTGGGTTGCAGTCTCAAGATCTGTGCTCTGGTCTCTGTAAAATCTTACCAAAACTATGATTTGTTTCTCAAAAAAAAAAAAAAAAAGAACAAGAATTATTATGCCAAAAAAAAGAAAACAAGCTCAAGGCCAGTCTGTAGGATTTTAGCCTGTGGCCTTGGATTTAATATGGAGTTACTTGGTTCTTCTTGCAGCCCAGCCCCAGTACCATCACACCGGGGAGCTGGGGCTTCTACATTGGGATTTGGGAGACACAGTGATTGGGCCCACCACCGTTGGTGATGGTCTTTCTTCCTCTGACAGTTGTGCTTTTCTGTGCTCTGGTTCTAAGGTTGCTGCTGAGGAGCTCAGTGCTGTCCTCACTCTGGGCGCTTGGACGAGCCTTGGATGGGACCCGTTGTGCTTTCTGACCCTCAGGCAGCTCGCAGAATCTGCTTTGTGTGCTTGTGTTCTGAACTTGCGCTATGGTGCACCTTCACTTAGGTCCATTCCATGCTTCGTGACAGGGACCCCCATAGATCCACCTGTGAAAATACTCAGGAATTAATTCGTGGATTATTTCTTTTTCTTCATTTTCCCTGTTCCTTTTTTCCCGAAAATCCTATTATTTGGGTGATGGGTCTCTCTTTCTACCCTCTTCATTTTCTAGAAGAGTTTTTAACTTCATTATCCAACACTTCTATTGAGATTTTTATTTATAGGGCCACATTTAAAGCAAAATTCCCATGAACTCCCTTTTATTTTCTGAATATTTCTTTTTACGGCATGCTATTCCCACTTTTTTCTTTCATCTCCTTGAGGTTTTTTTTCTTTTTTCTTTTTAAGAATGATTTATTTACTTAATTCCATTTGTTGTTGTTGTTGTTGCTATTTAATTTGACCAGAGGGAGACATGGGGGAAAGCGAGAAAGCAAGCTGCCAGGTCCGGGACTTGAACCTCAGTCTGCCATGTAGGAATCCAATGCCTTAAACCACCATATCACCTGCCAGCCCCCTCATTGAGTTTTTATTTTTTAAAAAATTTTCTTGCCTTAGAGATGCCTGGTTCCTCTGAGCCACTTTTTTCCTCTTTCCCCGGCTTCATCTCTAACTTTGTATTCTGTAGATATCTAATGGCCCTTACTGATTTGTTCTTCATTTAAGTTGGGGTACAGTAGGGGACTGGACAGGAATACAGCAGTAAAACACAGTATTCTGCAAGGCTGGCCCACATGAGGAGGCTTTGGGTTTACATCTAACCTCCTTGAGTACACCAGGCACCCATGTGCCCATGATCTGGGACTGTCTGAGGCTACAGAAATTATAGCTTCAAGACCCTGTTGGGGTTTCTCGGCCTCTCTGTCTCTCCCTCTCTCCCTCTCTCACATTCACAGAGGAAATAAGTAAATATGCCTAACAGGACTGACTAGAAGTGCTGCTCTAGAGGGAGGTTTCCCTCTTTGTCTTTATGCAGGGTGTCAGGATTTTCCACCTTTTTCTTGGGTTCCCTTCAGGTCTTATTTATTTATTCATTTTAAAAATTTGCTACAGGGCATATGTGATTACAGTTAAGAGTCAGAGAGAGAGAGAAAGTGAGAAAGCACTCCCCCCCACCCAGGGCGGGGGCGGGGGGGATGATCACACCACAATCCCTTTTCCTCCATTCTCCTTTCAGGATTTTGCGCATGCACACACATACACTCAGCATGTATTCTAAGCTCCTGGGTCCAGGACTTGAATCATGCAGTTAGCTATGTGGGAGCCAGTCACTTTAACTACCATGTCACTGACTGGCCCCCAGGTCTTATTTTTATTTTTTAATCAGTATTATGATTTTTAATTTATGTAAAATAGTTGTGTATACTTATGGGGTCCAGTATTGTTTTTCTAAACATGTATCCATTGTGTAATGATCAAATCAGGGTGGACCTGGAGGAAATAATACTAAGTGAAGTAAACCAGGCCCTGAAAGACAAACCTGTAAATTCTCACTCATCAGTGGGAGGCAGAAGATTGGGGTGTCTGGGGGAGGGATACAGAAGCTGGAGGTGGAGATGAACTTGGCTGACAGACACCAATGCAGGCAGCTAGGTGGAGTAGGGTTCAGAGCTCTCAATAACAGTCGAGTCTTCTAAACTGCCAGGGGCCTCTGGGTGCAATACTGGACTCCAGTGGGGAGAACACAGTGGGAGGGGTGTCCTCATCATTTACTTCAGCCCCACAGACCTTGTGCCTGAAACCCTAGGCAGAGACCCTGATTTTCCCCCAGGGAAGACTCCACTGGCCGCCCCTTAGGTCAGTGAGGGCTGTGTGGCAGGAGCCTGGAGTGAACCCCGGATGTAACACAGCCTCATAGGCAGCATGTGCCCAGAGCAGCCTTTGCCACCTGCACCTGCGCCACTGGGATTGCCTTGCCCTCTCTGTCACCAGCTCCTTCCAGCCTCCTTTGTGCTGTTAGGGACAATCTCCTGTTTTCAAACCATGTTTCTGCTTTCTCCACTTAGTTTTCTCCACCCTTACAGGTTTCAGGCCTTTTGAAGAGACCTCCCTACTGTGTGTTTAGAGGCTGCTCAAGAAGTGCATGATCCTGCCAGTTCTCACTCATGGTGGTTTGTGTGTGCTTTGGCCTGAGAGCTGGTATTTGCTGGAACTTCTCTAACAGTTCCCTGAGAGTTCTGTTTATGGTGTATTCCATCAAAGATGGCCTTTGCATCCATCCGCCAGGCATCTGGCGGCTGCCGGAGACTGAACACTTGGCTCATGGCTTATGGCTTAGGGAGTTGGGATTTGGGCCCTGACCAGCACCGTGCACCAGTTCCAGGAGGGTCCCCTCCTTTGTAGAGCTGGTCCTGGGTGATACTCCTCCTCTCCCAGGCCCGAGCTCCCCCGGTCCCTGTTTGAGGGGATGGATCCCCTCAGGCTGGGGATTCTGGAAGAGGCCTTTACCTCACTTCCTGCCTCACTCAGGCCCTAGCTGTTCACTTGTGTCCTGAGAATGTTCCCTGAAGAGTGCATCACTTCAGAATTGCTGGAAGTCTCCAAGGTGGAAGTCTTTGCAGTTTCAGCTTTCCTGTCCCACCTAGATTCCTCCCTGGTCTCTGAGAATGTCCTGTATTATGCCAGCTCAGTTGTTATTTTATTATTTATTTAGTTTTTAATTTTTTAATTATATATTTTTATTGCCAAGGGGCATGTATGCTTACGAAAGAGAGACAGAGTGACAGAAACAAAGAGAGGAAGAAGGAGACAGCAGCCCTCCAGTGGAGCCTGGTCATGCTGCAGTCCCTTCTCTTCCATTTCTCCATCCTATCAGATTTAAGGTATGCACACACACATACCCAGTGTGTTTTTCGAGCCACTGGGACCAGGACTTGAACCATGGAGTCAGCCATGTGGGATCTAGTGCCTTAATAACCACGTCACATGCTGGCGCCTGTTTGTGTGTGTGTTTAAATGTTTTATCAGAGTTTGTCATAGCAGCATCTTAGGCTACCTCCTGTGCCATGTTGCCAGAGCAGGTAAGTAAATCTGGTGGCTGTTATCCTCCCAAACCTCTGCGCTGCCCCCACCCCTACCCCCACCCCAACTCCACGTTACCCCACAGGGCCAGGATGAAGATGAGAGAGCTCAGCTGCGCAGTTTAACTACCACCCAAATTGTCATCCAGATAATTAGTGTTTCATTTCACATGTCTAAGTCACACTCGATTTGGGA